AAATCTGAGCGACTTTCCATCAAACATTCGTGTCAGCAACATGCTCAACGTTTTGGCTATTAAAGAGCGCGACACATCGGAAGTGAAATGTGGAAATTGTGACGAGAAGAGCTCTCAGTGTTTCTATTGCTTTCATTGTTGTATCTTCTGGTGTGAGGAGTGTGTCATTGCTCATAGTACGATCCGAAATAACAAAGGACACCGTGTTCTACTTGTAAACGATTTTCGAGATCATGACTTCGAAGAGATCTCAAAACGACCCGTGAAACTTGAATTTTGCTCCAAGAAGGACCACGAAAAAGAGGAATTGAGATTCTTTTGCGGGGATTGTGAAAGAGCCATTTGCAACATTTGCGTCGTGACAGTCCACAACCGTCACACAAAGATGCTCTTGGAAGACGTTCTAACTGAAAAAAGAGCAGAAATTATCTCTTTGATTAATTCTAAACGGAAATCAATTGAAAAAAAGCATGGTCAAATAAATGAACTACAAGTCAAATACACTGAATTACAAAATAAAGTGTCAAACGTGAAGCGCGACGCACGCTCGTTAGCAGATAATATTATCGCGGTCATTGAAGCGAAGATGCGAGAAATGTTTGAGGACGTGGATAAGCAAGCCGAAGAAATACTCGATTTCTTTAAAAATCAGCAAATCTGTTTGGAAAAACAAATACAATCAATGGAGAAAGAAATTGAAGAAATTGAAGAATTTGTGAAAGGAAGTACCAGGGCCGAGCTTTTACGGTACAAATCCAAATTAGAAAAATCTCTACATGTCAGTGCACCTGAAATTGAAAACTGCAATGACCTAAGAAAAAATTGTCACCTAATTCTAAAACAAAATGACGCATCAATGAAGGCATTACAGGCTCATGGAATTGGTTCAATGAAAGCGTTCCTGACTCTCACTTCATATAGTAAATCAAGTGCCGATGTTAAAGGAATGAGGGAGGCGATTGTTGGATTGGAGGCTCGCGCTGTTTTGACTACGAAAAATGCTGAAGGCGAAAAGTGTTACACAGAGCATGACGAGATAAGCGTAAGAGTTACAAATTGGGATGGCCATGTTAGAGTCACGACGGCGCAAGTCCAAGATAATAGAGACGGTACCTACTTCATCACTCATTTCTTTACGGAAACAGGAAAGCACGAAATCTCAGTAACTATAAATGAAGAGCACGTTTGTGGGAGTCCTTTTGCTGTTGTTGTCAAACCAAGAAGCTTCGTCCCTTTGTCAACATTTGGAGAACAAAGGATGCATGCTGGAAGCCTTAGCAAGCCTTGGGGCATTGCAGTGAGCGCCCGTAATGAAATAGCAGTGACTGAAAGCAATGCGAACAGAGTTCAGGTATTCAGCTGCAATGGGACATATTTGCGCTCTTTTGGAAGAAAGGGCAATCAGAAAGGAGAATTTTATTATCCTACTGGCATAGCATTTGATAATAGTGGGAACATTTTAGTAGCAGACACTTTTAACCATCGCATTCAATTGCTTTGTGACCGTGGGAAGTACCTCAGCCAATTTGGAAGTCTTGGAAGTCTTGATCACCAGCTCAAGTATCCATACGGCTTGTTTGTGGACAGCGTAGGTAATATCATTGTTGCTGATTCAGGCAATAAATTGGTCAAATTCTTTTCTAATACTGGTTCTTGTTTAAAGAAAATAGGTGAAACATTTTGTCTAACAAAACCACTCAATTGTATTCAGCATGACGATCTATTTTTAATATCAGACATTTCTGAGCATTGCATCGTAGTATTTGATAGAAAAGGGCAATTTCAGTACAAAATCGGAAAAAAAGGACAGGGGGATGGGGAGTTCAATGAACCAACTTATGTCTCAGTTTACAAACCCGGTGAACTGATAATTTGTGATTCATTAAATCACAGAGTTCAGATAATCAAATTAAATGGCACATTTGTCTCAAAATTTGGGGGAAAGGGACATAAGGTGGGAGAATTAAAGAGACCAACCTCTTCGGCCGTTCTCCGTGATAACAAGATTGTACTGACTGATTGTTTTAATGACCGCATACAAATATTCAGCGAGTAGAGTCTCCCACTAAATAATTTGGGATTTTCAGTGGGCTTTTACATGTATCAAACTGACCTCCTTTAAAAGTGTTTTCGGAGAAAATGACGCTTGTTAGATAAATTCATATTTCCACCTATCGTGCTATGAGCTTTCTTTTTAGCCAGAAACACAAGTTCTAGAAAGATTCTACGCTATCGTGAGTAATTTCGTTTGAGGATTGTTTTTCCTCATCCTAAATTAGAGGAGAAGCTAGTTCAGATGTTGTTTCAATTTATTTACAGAAAAATAAGTGTCACTCGTTACAAAAATAACATGGATATTTACAGTATTTTCACTTACTGTTGTTACTTGAAGATATGTGTAAAGTCAATCAGAATAAAGTATTGCAAAACTCAACCGAAACTAGGACTGATTATTCTCAAACATAGCTCACACAAGTCAGAAAGGTAAAAATACATTGGCCATGTCCTGAAATTATTCGAGCACGTCCTTTGCACTCTCTTACCAGAAGTGGTTTCAAGTTGGCTTTTTTTGATTGCTCGCCCCATTTTAAATTTTCTCCTTTGTTTAGTTGCCCTGTGATGCCGCTAAACTCCAAAGTTCAAGTAATACATTAACTAAGTTTCAACGTCATGCTTCGCTAAATGAATGACACAACCATTCTAATTACTTTTTCGAATGTTCAAGAAGGTGCAGTAGTAATGTATTATTCAAAATAGTTAACTTTAAGGTGTTTCACCTCTTCAATATTCAGTTGGTTAAAATTTTCCGATAAGTTAGATTTGTGTTAAATGTTGATTGATTAAGTCTAGTTCAGGCCTGCCCACAAAACAAAATTTACTCAAATAAACGAACTCAATAGAAATTCTTAGTTATCATAAAAGTCCCTCTTTTTAAACCAAAGGTATCCATTACCTTAAGTGTAAAAACAGAAGAAACAAAAAAATCGCAACGGGAAGGACAAGACGGTGGATGGTGCAAGGTCATTGAGAATCTCTTATCTTTTTCATTACGGTGGTCAAGCCATTTTTACTAACCTAAAATGTTTAGTGGGGAGAATGTCAATTCTCAGCACCTCATCAATGCATTACCAAAGCAGTTACTCACTGACCAGGCATGCTTATATCAGATATCAAATCTTGAGTAGATCTGGCGCGGCCGCTTAGAAAGCATAGCTCTCTCATCTTGCATTTTCAACTAGTCTTGTTTTTCGCATCCTTTATGACATAAATTTTTGATCACAACAGTGAAGCCACGGACTGCTTGAGCCTTTTCGCGTATTATATAATACCAAGTGGGGAAGAGGGGCGCAATAAGGACTCATGTTGGCAAGTGCAGTGCTTCATTCCAACTGAACCATATTTGCTGTCTCTACTTTCACTTGCCTCGGTCGAAATAACTGAGGGACTGTCACAAGCGGAAAATTGCTTTCTAATCGATATCTGGTCGTCGCTGCCGATGTTCTGACTGTTATAAAATCGAACTATTTCCGATAGATAACCAAGATCCTCGCTTCCTGCTCGATCATCGTCATTGTGATCAATGATAATGATATCTCCTGGGTTGACGTTTATTTCTTTGGTTTCGTCACCATTTCCTTGCAGTTCTATAGTCACACTCTTTATTTTGTTCACTTCATCTTCGTCTTCTCTTTTAACCATGGAAAATTTTCTCTTCCTAAATTTTTTCTTGCAAAGATGAATTGCTAACAGAAACAAAAGCAAGAAAACAGTGGCACCAGCCACTCCCGACAAGAATACGACCAGGGTATCGCGTGATTGTTCTGAAAGCAACGGTTAAATTTGACATTTAATAAATAAAGAAGCTAGGTATCGTGTTCCTTTTACCAACAAAGTGATAAGCTAATGCTATGTACATATACTTTATGGAAAAGAAAATAATCATGAAGTTGTAACCCGTTTCGTCATGAGTGTGGAACGAAACGGATCAAGTTTACGAGTGACCAACATGGATGCATGTTGCTCTGTCTTTAGATTAGATGGTCACTCCCTAATAACCAGCAAAAACTCTAAACTCTCATAAAATGGGCTGAATATATATCACACTCGCTCTAACGAAGGGCTAACAC